TCATATATATATATATATATATATATATATATATATATGTTACTGTAGAGGTTCTGTACAGAGGAGTTACAGTTACATAAGTCAGGTTGTGAGTACTTTTATTTTTCGATCACGTCACCCCTTCCCTTGCTCTCTCCAAGTTTTTCCCCTCCCCTCCTTATCCACATGTTGTATAGTTCATTTTCAGAAAGTACTTTTAAATAATCATATCTGTAGTGAATATAGTAATTTTTAACCTTGTCAGTCCCCTAAACAATACAGTGTCAGAAGGATTGGTATAGTGTTTATATTCTATTAGGTATTATAAATATATAAGTACATTTAAAGTATATGGAGGGCTGGGCTGTAGCTCAGTGGCAAAGCATTTGCCTAGCAAGTGCAATGTCCTGAGTTCAATCCCCAGTACCAAAAAAGAAAAGACAAAAAATATAGTTAAAGTATATGGAGTAATATTCATATATAGGTTATATGCAAATACTAGAGCATTTTACATAAGTAACTTAGTGTCCTCAGATTTTTAGTATCCAAGGGCTGACACTGTTCAAAAAGAAATGTACTCACTGCCTGACTTATGTAACTGTAACCCCTCTGTACATCACCTTTACACCTTTACAGTAACAACTAAAAAAGAATATTCTAGAACCAACTTGTTGTGATTTGGAGGAACCTTGTATATTATGTAAAAATTTAGGAGAAATGTGAATATAAGAAACTACCTTCTCTTGGTTGAGGCTATTTAAGTGGCTGGTGAACATCCCCAAAGTGTCCTGGAAACAGGAAATCTTTGAGTAAGAGGAGACATCTGCTGTCTCTGGGCAGGGTGGGAGTTTAAGCTTCTAAACTGCAGGAGACTGCAAGTCCCCTTGGGCTTTCCCAAAGGTGATCTGTGAAAGACTAGAGAGTCTGAGGGTCTGTTGTGGCCATGGGAAGGGGCAAAAAACCTGGCCAGTGACTTCAGAAATTTGTTACTGTTTTGCTTCTTGGCATTTTCACTTACTAGGATTCAGTGGACACAGAACTGACATTTTCAGAGTTAGAGGCATGGCACAGGTGCCAAGGAATGAAAGCATCAGATACTGAGTTCAAGTCTTGGACATCCACATTCCATTAAGAGGGACTTTGGAGTCACAATATTTACTGCATACTGGCTGGCCTAGAACTAACTCACTATCTTCCTATCTCTGCCTTCCAAAGAAGGGGTCACTTTGTAGTTAGAGTACAGGAGAGGAAAAAATCCTTGTACAATATCCCTATCACCCTTAGATATCTCACATTTCAGCGACCTGGGTTAAATTGTTACTGATATTAGCCCTGATTGGTTATGTTGGAAAAGTCATCTCATTTAGCAAGGTTAGGAGTTCAAATCCTTGTCAGGAAATCCTTGGGAGGAATAAAGGCAAGAGTGCCATGAAACTCATGTCTAGAAGAAGAACCCCATCTTGTATCTAATACCAGAAACAAATGTGAGAGACCTTGGTTGTCTTAATAAAAACAGAAAAACACAGAGTTTAATACAGTGATCAGAACCCAAAATGAAGCCAAACTCCCTAGGTTCAAATTCTGCCTTGGCCAACTAGCAGCCATGAAATCTAGGGCAACCTGACCTCTTTAAGCTTCAGTTTCCTCATCTATGAAAATATTTACTACATGTGGTCACTGAAGAGATAAATTAATTGAGGTATGCATAGTGCTTACAATATATAAGCACACAAGATGAAATTCTCCATAGTCATGCAGGTCCACGTAGACACAACTAATCAAATATAGAATTCTTCCTCACTGAAACTGTTGAGATCTGTATCCTTTATAAGAAAAAAAGCCACTTCATGTGGTTACTAATTGATGATCTCACCAAATAAAACGATCTACACATCATATTGACTGGAATATGGCTGTATCAGTGGAGAAAGTCAATTAACCCATATCAATTTTCTATACCGAACACTCCACAAGAGTAAAATGCAGCCTGAATAGACGCAAACAATGTCATATAAGAAAGATTCAGCACTCAGGCAGGCAGGCATCCTATTGTGTGGATATAAGTTTTTCAGCTGCCCTAGAATGTCTATTCACATCCTGAGACAAGCAGCCATGAAGCAAGTCCTTCTGCCTGTCCTCATTCTTCATTTGTATTGAACAAGAGTGACTGCTAAGCCACAGACCACAAAGAAAAAGGTCAGTCTCATGAAATATACCACAGTCCTGCTGATGTGCTCATAAAAGCACACACACTTCAAAGCAACCATGGATGGAGACATAAGCGAGCCACTTGAGAACATTCATTTCAAGCAGGAGCATTTACCCAGCCCTTGTGAGGTCAAACTCTTTCCTAGAAGAGCCCACATCATAAAGACTGCATTTAACCAATGAACATGGAATTGACAGAGAAGCAGACATATGGGTAGCAGTTTGTTAATTTATAACCAAGAATAAGAACAGCTGAAGTGAGGGAGAGGTGGCTCTTTCTCTCACACTGACATTGACTGAGATCATTCTTTTGCATCTCTAATGCTACTATCTACTGTTCAAGCCTGCAGCTCATGGTGAGAGTCCGGCATCGCATTTTTCTCTCAAGGCCCAAAAGGACAAGACTTATTTTGGAAACACAGGAGAGGTGTTCCATGGGAAGGGAGGAGGAGTGAGAAGTTCATGTGGCAAGTCAGGGAATGCGATCATGTGCCTGTAAAACAACCAGCTAACTTTCCACCTTACATAGTTTTTAACTTCAATCAGATTCTTAACCTCTTAGGGGAGTTAGCAGTAAGTAGCAGTATTTGGTCTGATTTCTTATAGTTTTAAGGTTACAAAAAATAATTAAAATCTCACTACTTGGATACTAAAGGGACTTGTCATGTCCAGCTGGACTAACGAGGAAAGGCAGTGCTTATAATTCTAGGATGCAGAGGTCAATAAACCAGAACTTTGCCCTCAACTTCATTGCTCATCACCATCAGGTGTAGGGCAAGTTAACTAGTCTCTGAGAATCAGTTTTCTCACTTTTCCACAGAGATAAACATACCCACTTCCTAGGTCTATCCTAAGGTTTAATTAAGGTAATATAGCAGAAACAACAAATACAGATCCAGCTATATTGTAGTCTTAATATAAATGGTAACTATCATCATCATTGCTGGTAATTAGCCAACCAAGATGATTACCAACTACCATTGTTATTTTCTAGAACCAAAACATCTAGATCTTTCTAGATGATTTTAGAGATAGTAAGTATGAGCTATATGACAGTCAAATATGTGATGTCATTTCAGAGGACAAGAATAAATAAAAGTGATTTAAATTATTTTTAAATCTGTATGTCATAAGGGAATTTTTTAAAATGACTGCAATGTTCTAAAACTGAACTGTGAGACTGGTTGCACAATAAAATCATTGAATATATACTTCTCATGGATAGATTTTATGGTGTGTTAATAATGCTTCACTGAATGTGCTGAAAAATTCTCCATAGACAGGAGCTAAAGCCTAGCTTAGAGGACTGAATTTATCTTGTATGCAGCACAGCAAGCCAAAAGAAAGGCAGGGTTGATAGATTATGAGTAAGAAAGAGTACACTTCAGTGGGGTCCCAGAAGAAGAGAAACAGGATGGGCAAAAGCAACTTGAAAAGTATTCCCAGTATTTGTGATTTCATAGATTGAAGCCCACAAAAGGTAAATTTAAAACAAAACCAACTGTAGACACATGATAATGAGACTTTGAAGCCCAGAGACAAAGAGAAACTATTTTAGAATAAAAAAAAACAAAGATAAAGAATCTTCAAAACAACAGATTAAGCTGATCTCCGAGTGGAAAATAGGCTGCCATTCTATGGGTTATGACATTGTGGGGTGTCATACCTCTTCCTCAATGAGCCTAAGTAGCCCTGATGACAATCATGGCTGAGCACTCTGGGCTTTAGGCATATGAAATGGTCTTGACCACAGTAGACAATGCTGCTGTGATCTGAGATTTCAACTACTTTGCCCAACTCCATACAGCAGTGAGTAGTAAAGTCAGGGTGGGCACCAGGATTTGCATCCAATTTGAATTCCTGGACATCAAGCATTTGACACTAACAGGGCAATCAAAGGCTGGGCCAGTAAAGATAGTAGCTACAGACCAATAATCTACAGGCTCCTCAACTGCTCCAATTCAGAAAACACATAAAAAAGGCTAAATGATAGTTTTTTTAAAAAAAAGATCTGGAAAAGATCTCTTTGCTTTGTGGTTACTTAGCATTCATCCCTGTCTATAATTGTGACCATTACCTGACTGAAATGTGGATGTTTTCCACTGATTTTTATTAATGTGTGCCTGGACACACAATTTCTTCCTGATTTGCAAAGGATTCCTCTTTATTGCAGATTATCTTTGCCTCTCTATACTCTTTCCTTTCAGGAAATATGTCTACAGGTATACATGACACAGCCAAAAAGGACCCGGAGACTGATGACATTGGGTGTCTAATAGGATTATGCGGTGCACAGAGTTCTTTATCTCAAGCTGATTCCAATGATCTAAAACCACAGGATGCTCCAGCCATAGGGCAGTACTCATCTCCTAGGCACAAGAAGGGTTACTAAGTAAGTGAGAGAATTTAACTCTGTTCCAGAAGTCAGAAGGAGCAAGGGCTGGGGGAAGAACACGACCATCTATCTCATGAGGAAATAAACCTCTCTTCAGAATCTGAGCCAACAAGGACATAAACTGCTTTCTTTCTTCAGATTCCTGATTTCAACCTCATGTATTACACTTCACTGTTCAAGCTAATTTGGAGACAATCTGTTTTAGAGGAAACATGCCAGGTATAATGGATTGGACCACATGAAATTGCTGTTATTCATGATTATTTTTCCTGACAAATATCACTTCCCATGAATCAACTTAATAATCATAGCTATGTGCAAAATTCTCAAAATGTCTTTTACATTTATTTTTCAATTTAAATAGACCCCAGGTTGCAAGAATAAAGTGAGAAAAATACAACACATACTGAAAATTCTTCTCAAATATCTATTAAATCTGCATATATACACTTCCAAATGTGGTACAATGGTCCTGCATGCATTTTAGTGCAACTAGACATAAAACTTTCTGTTGGGGTTGGTATACTTTAAGAAATAAAAAAACCCTCCATTTGCTTTATATATTTACATTTTTATTAGAATTCTTTAGAACTGTCAACAATTGGACAACATATTAGGAAAAAACACATGAAACACCAATATCCTTTAAACTTGCACTGCTTAGATATTTACACATAAAGTTACTGTATATATAAAAAATATTTTCAAGGGCTCATGGGCTTGGGAATATTCAAAAGACATTATTGCTACATTTCAATATTTACAAAAAAAGCCACAAAATAATCTCAAACATTAAGCAACTGAAAGAAACAGCTGATGTTAAAAAAAATATAAAAATATAAACTTTCAAGAATATCCAAGACAAAATTCTCAATGATGTGCCCCTGAAGTACCTAGACATCTACAATGAACAATTATTTTGCTTATTATAACCATAATCAATAAGAACACAAAGGAATTTTTCAGACCAAGTATGGCAAATGGCAACAACCACTTACGTGACAACACAACCCCAAAACCTGTTAACTTTGGAAAGGTGCGAGAGCATACAACTCCAGTGCAAATGTTAGTGCCAGAATAAAGGCTCCTCTAAATGCAGTCTAAGGGATGGATGAGGGGAAACCATGAACGACATACCTGAATTATGCAAGACAACACACAAATCTTGCCATGGATAGATTTATCTCTTATATTAGACAGTGATGAGGGTGGAGGGGGAATTTAAGCTACAAGGATCATACCCAGGCTACAGCCTAAAGCAGAAAATTTAAATACGTTTCAGTGGAACAGTAGCATCATCTAAAGTCTATGGAATGGATACAGTATGTTGAGTATAAGAGAGAGTGCCTTAAGTGCACATGGATTGCAAATAAATAGGTCCTTATGCACTCCACTGAGGATCAGCGTCTGCATCAGCTTGGGTATGCTACTCCTGACAGCCACGTGCAGAGAAACAGGAGAGAAATAGGGATGACGATGAAACCACGTTGGTTCCTGGATACTGGGACCTCTTGGTCTCAGGGAAAGAACACCCATCAAAATCCCTTGTCTACACGCATCCTTGCATGCACACACATACACAGTTAAATCGATACTGGCCCGATGTCCAGGACAGATCCAAAAAAGGAGGCTGGGTCTTCTACTTCCTGCTTAGAATCCATACTAAGACAGCTCTGTTTGCTCACACTTGTGAGAACCATGTGGGACCTCAGTCCCTTTTGCAAACAGCATCCAATCCATTGAGTACGGTGAGGCCCTTTGAAGCTAGTAGGCTTGTTCTGGAGAATCTATAAAGCAAGTTCATTGGCTAAAGGAGGAGGTTTTTGTTAAGATTGTGCTTGGCAGTTACAATTTTTTTCACTTAAAAAAAGTATTAACTGTTTCCTTCAAATTTCTATGGCTCTTAATTGATTCCTATAGAGCAGACATAATGTCAGGGTTGTGTACAGAAACTAAAGCTTGTGGGTTCCCCACCTTTCAATGTATGAAGACACACAACCTATGATGAATATGTACAAACACTGGCTGGAGGGAGGCCCTGTTTCCAACTCCCCAATATCAAACTTGATTTGAAAACCAGGTCAACTGTGGTGGTCAATGGTGGAGTCGTTATTCATGCTCAGGGGGGCAATTTTCACAGCCTAGGACTCCTCAGCATGAAATAGGAGATTTCTTAAGCCTTGGCATTCACATTTAGGCCTTTCGTTCTAATAATACTCTATTTTCAGTATAAAGGACTCAGTCTTCAGTTTCTAATTCGGCTGATCTTCACATGATCATGGATGGTTCTTTAGCCAAAGGTGACAATTTTATTTATTCAAATAAACTATCAGCTATACTTTTCAAACATTAGAAAAAACACTGGGCATCTACCCCATCGCCTCCCTTTCTCTGAATCAGAAGCTTTTGTTTACAGTAGGAGCTACTTTGCTATTGGGAATATATACAATTCGAACCTTTGCAGTAGAAGGGTGGCTGATGACAAAAATCACCAGCCACTAAAGTGTGCTCATAAAGACAGGATTACAGGGGGGGTAGGGAGGCCACCACCCCTGGAGTAAGTTGCAAGTTGAAGGAAAACAAAATAACCATCATTGAAGCCAGAATGGGGATTGCTCCTTCAGAGGAGAACCAGCCATGCTGCCTGCTCAGGCATCTTCATGCACTAGCAGAGGCTGCGTGGAAGACGCGCTGCTCCCGACAGAATTCACTCTCACGGAATGGTCCACCACGGGGTTCTCTGCGTTAGGGTTGCAGTTTGCTAAGTTGGAGTAAATCTGCAAAAAAAGCAAGCCCAAAATCAATACCAAATTGTTCTACAATGAACGCAGCAAGGGGCACTTACCCCTTCAAAACTGCAAGTAATGCACTAAGATAATGATTATGATCATGATTGTTGGTGGTGGTTTGGGGATTTGGACTTGGGGCTTCATCTTTAAATGGTAGGCACTCTACTATTTGAGCCAATATTTTCTGGATGGGGTCCCATAGTTTTACCAAGGATTGTGATCCTCCTACCTGCACCTCTTGGGATCATGGCTATGCCCTACCACACTCAATTTATTAATCGAGACAGAGTCTCACTAGCTTTTTACCAAGGCTGGCCTCCAGCTGAAAACCTCCCAGTCTCTTCTTCCCAAGTAGCTAGAAATTAGAGGTGTGAGCCACTGTTCCTGGACCCAAGACTTAAATAGAAGTGGTTGCAAACACTTGGCAGCTAAAACCCAATCATACTGACAAAACATATTCAGGCCCAGTTTATCTCTTTTTTTCCCCCCACCTTAAGAAAATTACTCAAAAAATAATGACAAAACCTATTCAGGAGTAGTTGTTTTGATGGGTCACAACTGAGAGCAACCACTAGCCTACTAAGAAGGTTTATAAATTATAGCCAAGTACAACCCAACTGCTGATATAATTTATCTAGAAACCAACCCCCAAGACTCTTTCAGGGGTCTTCTGTCTGTAATCAAAGCAATTGGGTGGAAAATGCTGTTTAACTTGAAATATACTTGGGGACCCTGCAGAACAGACTTTGATCCTAAAGTATCAGTGGCATGCTATTACAAAACAAAACAAAAAAATGCTCTAAACACGAAGCCTGTAAAGGAAAGAAAGTGGCTTTAAAAAAAATTGGAGACAAAAAGTAAGGATGGTTGCTTCATCTTTAAAAGCAGGAGAGGAATAATGGAATTGCATTTTCATTTCCCAAATCCCTGGGAACTATCTTCTAAGTTCAAAGAACTTTTCCTTCCTGCTGGCTGGTAGGCATCGGTAGGCATGAACGCTATTGCCATTTGCTGGCTATCGATGTTTGAGAAGAAGGCTTACTTCACTTCAACAGTCGACTGAAAAGACGTTTTCTGTGCTTTCATTGTAGGTTTTTGCATTACTCAACCCACATGAGATGAGAGATGACATGTGAGAAAGGGTGAGACAATCTGGATCCCCCCAATCAACGTTCAGAGTGGAGGAAGAATCAGAGCAACTTCTTATAGGAACATGTCCTTCCACACTTCTGAGTACAAATTGCTCGGCTCTTCCCCCTCCACAGCTCATTTCTTTGGTTTAGAGAACAGAGGTTTGAAGCCAGGTGCTGGTGACTCACCCCTGTACTACTCCCAGCTACTCAAGAGGTTGAGATCTGAGGATCAAAGTTCAAAGCCAGTGTGGGTAGGAAAGCACCTCAGCCTTATCTCCAATTAACCATCTCAAAGCTGGAAGTGGAGCTGTGGCTCAAAGGTCAGCACACCAGCCTAAAGATCACCACTCCAGGCAATGGAGCTGAGGGTGACTGATTCTAGGCCTGGCTGGTTACTCACATGATTGGTGCTATCTGAAATCTGCTTCTCAATAAGCTGAACGATCTGCTTGAACGTTGGCCTTTTTAGGGGATCAGCATCCCAGCAAGTCTTCATTACGTCATACCTGCAAAATAAGAGCCGTGACTAGCACTCTTCCATGACCATGACAAATATTCCCAAGTGGGCCCCCCCAACAACTTCAATATGAAGCCCAGGGCTATGCACCCAGACACGTGAAATGGCATATGCATAAAATGTTGTAAGGAGATTCTGACAAAACTTTGTGTATTATTATTGGTAAGTGGCAGATGATGAGAAAAAATTGCAACAATGACATTCGATCAGGAACACAAAAGGAACCAAGTGCCATTTCAAACTGTAGGAGTGAAAACCATCAAATATCTAGGTTTCTGTCTTTGAAAAGGAAATTAAAATGGGGGTCCTTACATTTCAGCAGGCGCATGCTCAGGGCTGAGCATCCGGAAGCCTTCCTTGATCATCCTGTAGAACTTGGAATCCACTGGCATCCCAGGGTAGGGGCTGCTTCCTGAGGCATAGACAGTTGGCAAAACCCATGTTAATCACAGTGAGCAAGATACTCATGAAACCCCAAGAAGACGGTTTAAGTCTAATGAGGGTGTCTTTGGCAAGGATCATTTTACCTAGAGAGAACAGCTCCCACAGAAAAATCCCATAGGACCAGACATCACTTTCAAACGTGTACACGCAATTGAAAATGCTTTCAGGTGCCATCCACTTTACAGGCAGTCGGGCCTGGGAGAGAAGCACAACAGGTTCAACCAGTTAATGAAGAAGTTCCAAAGACAGAGCAGGAAATATTCCCACAGATGCTGTTCCTGCTGAAAGGTAAGGATAAGAACTTAAGTATCACCTCACAAAAACCTTCACCTAGGCAACTTTTCCCCATGGTATCCGAAAGAGGTGGTTCATAACTATCCTATCCCATTTTAAAGATGAGAACATTAAGTTAGTATAGTTCAGTAAATTAAGACCATGGAAGTCAAAAGACTGACAGGCATAGATTCCAATCCTGGCTCCATTATTAGCTTTGTGCAAAACAGATTCATTAGTTGTCATTCAGCGTCCCCCTTTTCTATTTTAATAACAGGAAATATGGCCTCCCATATTAGGACTACATTTCCAAGCTGCCTTTGGAGCTAGTTATATGCACGTAACTCAGTTTTGGTCACTAAGGTGTAAGTATCCTTTGGCAACTTTAGAAAAATCCCTTTACATTTAAATGGCATGTATTCTCTACCTTCTTTCTTATGGTGTGTCTTCCTCCCTGACTTTTGGATGTGGGAGACTGGCTGTCTATCTGGTGTGCAACCTGGGCCAGGAAGATGAATACTGTATCCAGGAATAGTGAAATGTGGAAAGGCAGAAGGAACTAGTTCTGAGCACATGGTGGGACTTTTATACCCACCTGGGCCTGTGATCTCTTCTTCCTTTTATTCTGGGTTTTCATATACAATTCAAACTCACTCTTACTAATCCACTAGGACAGTCACTTACATATTGATCATTTAGCCTGAGAATGCTCTTCTGTGAAGCAAAAATAACCCTTCCAATTTGATGAATTGCTCCACGAGACAAATGAGATGATACAGGCAGAAAGGCTTAGCACACTATCACTCAGTGATCTGAAAAATCACTCACATTACAAGTACTCAATGAACAGTGGTGGCTGTTCTGAGATGGGGAGCGGCAGATTCACATTTCAACTCCACAGCTGGACTTCACAGCCTGACACCTCTGGTTAAAGTCAAGACAAACACTATGTGATTAGGCCTTAGAGATGAGACTGTCTGGATTTCCAGATATGAATCTACCATGAAAAGTGAAATCAAGTCTCCTCTCATTCCTTTTAGGACTCAAAACAGGGAAGACAATTTTTTTTCTAGCTATTTTATGGGACTCCATTTGGGAGCTTCTCTGTGAATGGAGTCTTGCTTCTTTCCTTTCATTGATTTCCTTTTACTTTCAAATAAGCTAACTGCTTACCTTAAAAAAATAAATGAAGATATTTTAGTAGGCTAAAACCAAAACCAAACCAACAAAACCTTTTAATAGCTAACTTCAGATTTTGTCCTAAAACTCTAGTTGATGCTGTTAATTTGAGATATATTGGTACCTTGAATTCAGGAGCTTGTGTATCTGGGAAGGTTATTATGCCCTTATTCTCAACAATTTCTAGATGAAGTCAAGCATTTTAAAATTTCCAAATGAAGGCATTTGAAGGCTACTTAGCTACTTGTGGTACCACAAATACATTCACATCCTATCACCATAGGTACAGGGATCTGTAACATTGACATCCATAACTACTTTGAAATGACAACAGTGGTTAGAATATGTTGTTCTGTGTAGTACAGAAGTCCATGTACTGACTTTTCTCACAAATGTACTTTTTTTTTTTTTTTTTTGCTTGAACTCTGTCGTGGGGCTTGAACTCTGAGGCTGCTGCCCCTCAGCAATTCAGCTCAAGGCCAGCGCTCTACCACTTGAGCCACAGTGCCACTTCCAGCTTTTTCCTTTTTTTTGCTTACGTGGTGCTGAGGAATCGAACCCAGGGCCTCAGGCATGTAAGGCAAGCGCTCTACCACTGAGCCACCTTCCCAGCCCTCACAAATGTACTTTTAAAATTTGAAAACTGTCATGAATGTTAACTGCTTTTCTTGGTTAGCCCTATGTATTTCATATTAAACATTTAAAAAGATAGTCTGGTAAGGGGTCTACCTAGAAGCCTCATTTGACTGACAGGGTTCAGGGGCTAAGAATGACTAAGAAATCACACAAAATGGAAGAACTTTCAGAGAACCTGAATGAACAGATTTCTCTCTGCAACTACATGTTGGTAGAGTGTCTACTTCACAAGCATGTAGTCCTGGGTTTAAAGCCCAGTACCACCAAGAAAAAGAAAGTTTTAATGACTACATGTAAATGTGGGTGCAACCACAGGTTGTATGTATTTCCTCGTTCCAAACTTGCTCCTTAAATCCTCTTTACTGAGACGCCTACTGGAGAGTGATGCCTGCGGACTGGTTATTGTGTCAACTGACTTGAGCTGCACACCACAATCTAGAGTCTGCTGGCCCTCATCTGCACTGTCAATAGAGTAACAAGCTACAGAGATGTTAATTTCCTTCCAAATGACATTCACTGTCATGATTAAATTTCAAAGAATGCATCCATAAAGTAAGAATTGTCTGGCATCGTTTTGAGCACAATTCATTTATTGCTCACAATAACTTTATGAGATAGGTGTCAGTATTATTCCCAAGGGGTGAGAAACCAAGATGTAAAGGTAGTGGATAATTCTTACCAAATATTACATAGTTACTAAATGATGGACCCAGATCTGAACCCAGCTCAAGGACACTGAGCCCAAACAGAGCTATCTCCTCTTGTTCACGGTCAATTTCATAAGGAACCACTTTTTATTCTTCCTTCCATGACCCGGAAGGAGAGTAGCTGTTTGTTTACAAACTCGCTTGATGATGATACCTGGCTTGGGGGAAGCCTTTTCAGAATTGCACAGTTTGGTCAGGAGATATATTTTTATAAAACCAAGTTGAGCACAGGCAACCAATGAAGATGTCATGGTGATGAAGGAGAAAGCATTACAGTATCATAAGGGACACAATTTTTCTACTTCTAAGAATGGGCAAACAGCCCTAGAAGAATAATTGCACAGGAGAATATAGCTTTACATACCCATGGGATACTGGATCTGGAAATTATGAGCTCTGGTTTCAGTCTCTACTGACTCATGTCATCTCACATAAAAACCACCAAGATACACTGTACTTTACTTTCTCCAATTATTAAGATTGGGAAGACATTGAATAGTAGGGCATGGGTTTGTTTTGAGGATACAATGAAAGCTGACAATGACATAATTCAGCACTCTGAAAAAACCCAAAACAACTTCCTCCAAATCACTGATTACTTATAAATCTACTTAAGAGACCTCTATTGACTCTAAGATCCAACATTCCGTATGGCTAACCCAGAACACAGTTTTAATCACTTTCACATAGTATGTCAATCTCCAAAAAATTCTCCTGCTGAGACCTTCAAGGCTAACATTTGTTACACTTGAGAAAAATCAAGTTCATTGCTATTCTCAGGCTACAATGAAAATTAAGGCTATTTCTGTTTCCTTCACATGCCCCATAATTACACAATTAGAATTCGGAATTCTATTATCAACTGTTAGTAGTAGAAATGTTCAGCATTCCATGCAAATTTTGCTGGAGTACACTTAATTTGACTGCTAAAATGCATGACATTACAAGGTAGATTTTGCATTATGAAAATCATAGAAAACAAGTTTTGAAGCTCAAAATCCTTTGCGGACTGTCAGACAGAGAATGGATACTCACATTTCCTTTAACCACATAATTAGAATCATTCTTGATGTCTCTGGCGAGACCAAAATCACAAATCTTTGTGATTCGACCATGGGTAAGGAGGATATTTCTGGCTGCCAAGTCTCTGTGAATACACTATTAGGTTGGGGAGAAAAAGAAAGCCATTTAAATTCATTTTAACTTTCAAAGAGTAAAAACTATTTTTAAGACTAAAATGCTGTTTATATTATTTTTAAAAATCCCAAACTTTCATTTTACAAAGTATTCAGAACACTAAAAATAAAAAAAAATCAAAATTGCACCTCAAATGATGTTCACATCTTATGTTTCTCATCATTAGAACCCTAATTACTATAATCACTTTTAAAACCAATTCTAATAAATACTCCAGTCCTCAGGACAGCTTTTATTCATAGTAGAATGTATTATACTCAAATTGTATTTTTTAAGCTGGAAATTCATTTTGCACGCATCTCTCTGAATGTCCTTTCAAATGGTTCCTAAAAACGTCTTTGCAACTTTGATTTGACATTTCCCAAGGACACAGGAAGAAGATCTTATTTCTACTATCCTGTATCCTCTTTTAATTTTGGTAATTGTTTGGAAATGCCACTGATGATGTTTAGTTTGGGGGCTGGGACTTTTATTCTCTTCAGCTAGTCCTATTTCTGAGAGAATTCTTGTCCTTCAGATCCATGTTCCTACTTATGGTTCCATCATTTTCCCATCCCCCACCTATGTGTTCATTATTTGCTCTGATCCCTTTCCTCATATCTTATCAGCCATACATGTAATATTTGGGGGTCTCAATTCAAAGTGACTAATTATGTATTTCACTGAGCATAGCAATAATGAGGTATGGCCCTACTGTTATTGGTAAAATGATTAGCCATCTCTTTTCTAGGAGCCTACCTATATCTTAAAGCCAAATGTTTTAAGTGAATTCACTACACATAAGAGAATATTCATGGAAGCTCATTTAGGCAGGTTTGTGCTTTAAAGCTTATAAATTAGAACAGGAATTCCAAAGAGACAGCAGTTGGAACATGAAGAAACTAAATTTCCTCTACTTTGGGTTACTGCACTTCAAAATGACACTCTGCATTCTAACTAAGGCCTTGAAATGCTCCATTCTTTAAAAAAAAAGGAAGGAAGGGAAAAGGAAGACCGTGTACATCTCCGTGTACATCTGAGCATCATTTCCACTCACGTTCTTGGAGGCAAGGAAAGCCATTCCCTTTGCCACCTGGTAGGAGAAGCTTAGCAAGTCTTCCAGGTCTAGGGCCAGCTCATCATCCTCCACAATGGCAGGAGTCACATCTCTTTCTATGTATGAGCCTAGGTTAAGAGAAGATAGCCACATCAGTGTCAAAGGCTGGGAACTAATCAGTGGATGAGCACTTATGGACCAATCATACTCCCAGTACTGAGTAAAGCTGGGTGTTAAGTCACCAAATCAGTATTTAACAATCCCCAAATACTCAGGGCAGGGGGATGGCAGACTCATTTCCAAAATTCCATCTACAGAGCAAGATGTTCAAATATAAAAACACATGTTCTGACTCCAAACATGCACTCGCAAATTCTAACTGCTACAGATTTTGTATTTGCTCGGACGTAAGTAAAGTGGCATTTATCACCTGATAGGGACCTACCTATTCTTGCGGATCTCCTTTTGTCAGCTTTGGTTGGGACAACATAGGAAACGCCAGGCTTCATGTCCATGTACTCATTGGTACTATCATTGCTGAGAAAGAAATGAAGCACCCTTAAGTTAAGACTGAACAGACCAGAAATTGGAAGAAGGGGCCACTAATGTGAGAGGCTCCTCTCTTGTCCACTTTGTCTCTTAATAGATTTTATTTGAGAAAAAAAATGCAATGCAGCATTTGAATAAAACATTTAAAAAAGCTGCATTCTGATTTTTCAATGTGCAATATTAAGGTCCAATTACTCAGGTTAGAAGTGTCCCAACTGATGAGCGCTGATGGTTTGTGCTAGTAATCCTTTCTAGTAATCCTAGCTTTTCAGGAGGTTGAGATCTGAGATCTCAACTAGCCTGGGTTAGACTCTTATCTCCAATCAACCAGTAAAAAGCTAGAAGTGGAGCTGTAGCTCAAGTGATGGGCCTTGAGAAAAAAACAAAACAAAACAAAACCAAAAAACCCCAAGTAAGAGCTGCAAGGCCCTGAGTTCAAACCCTAGTACTAACACCAAAAAAGTAAAAAATTTGAAATGCTGTAGAAATGGTGGATTTAATAGGAAACAGCCACAAATATTATCCTGAGTTGCTCCAAATTCTACATTAGCCACCACAGAGACAAGACACAAGACAGAGAATAGAGCTTCCGAGATGTGTCATCAGAGAGATTGCTAACATATAGCAACGGATGGAAGGTTTAAAAAAAAAAATCAAGTTTGGTTCAAATAAACACCAATAATTTGGATGATTTTCTGAACCATCTGGACCTCTTGAATCTGCAACATTTGGCTGGAGACTCTTCAAGATTTCTAGTACTTCCTGCTACTGATTAGCATAGAAACACCATGACAACAACCTCCTTCATACTGTGCTGGTGGCTCCAAACCCATATGGGATCCCAAAGCATAAAGAACACCACACAGGACAATTTAGGCCATTATCTCAGAAATTTAAAAAATATAGACAGGGCAGAGGTTACATAACACCAACAACAAACACAAAAAATGGCTCAGGGGCCACAGCAAAGATATGCCCAGGGGATGCTAATAAGGTTTTGCAGAACTTACTATGTTCTAAAACTACTCAAGTTTATTGGGCTTAAAAAAAAAAGAAAATGAAGGGCTTCACCTGGAGCTTTATTAAACTTTAGCCAAAGGCAGAAAAAAGAATCAAGTTAAGGAATAAATGCCCGTCAATGATATTCACTGAAGTCTCCTGAGGAGCCTGGAATTGTGAGTTCAGGAGACAAAGTCTCACTATTCCAAAACATGGGAGACATATAGTAAAATTTATTTTAGTTGTTAGTGTTGGAGATAGAACCCAGGGCCTTATACATGCTGAGTACATGCTCTACCACTGAGTATACCTCCAACCACCCCATACAGTAAAAATATAAAGGACAAGTAAAATCCATCACACGAGGTAGCAATGCTAAGCACAAGGGAGTGGGCCTGATTATGATTTCTATCAAGTCAGGTGAAGCTAGTAAGTCTTCTTCTTATGCCAATATTGGGCTTAAACTCAGGGTCTTGCCTTCTTGCTCAGCTTTGTTGCACTTGAGCCACACCTCTACTTCCAGCTTTTTACTGGTTCATGAAGATGAAGAGTCTCTCAGATTTATCTGCCCAGAATGGCTTTGACCCTTAATCCTCAGATCTCAATTTCCTGAGTAATTAGTACTACAGGTGAGAACCACTGGTGCCCAGGTAGGAGTGAAACCTAAGTGGTAGAGTTTAAGAGCATACAGAGAGAAAACAAAGGTATATATACCAAGGCATATATACCATTCCTCTTGTAAAGCAAACTACTTCTCCTTAAAGAAACTTGGAGTTTGTTCTTTACCCCATCATTCAAATTCAGAATGGTATGGATAATTGGATAATGCCCACTATCAGGTCCAGGTGGGTTTTTTTTTGAATAATTAAGAGGGGTCTGGCACACAGGAAGAAATCAGAAGGTAAAAGTCTATGTGGACATCAATCTGCTGAAAAAATGTTAAAGGACTTTACGGTGCCAACGTGGCAGCCTTTGGCATCTTTCCTATAAATAGCTGCATTGTACAGATGCCTACAGCACTCATCTCAGCAGTACAAATGGAAATACACAAAAAAATGGAACTGTGATGCCAGGAAACAGGTGGTTTATGCTTGTAATCCCAGCTACTCAGGAGACTAAGAACTGAGGACTATAGTTCAAAGACAGCCTAGGCAGACAAATCTGACTCTTATCTCCAATTAACAAGCAAAAAGCCAGAAGTGGAGATATGGCTCATATGGTACAGCACCAGCCTTGAGTGAAAAAGCTGAGAGTGCAAGGCCCTGAGTTCAAGTCCCAGCGCCCACACACACACAGAGAACAGAAAAAAAAGTGATTTAAAAAAAGGTTAAACTGGCACGCAATTTAATCCACTGCATGTAACTGAGACATGGAAAAAAAATCTAAGCATGCCTTAAAAAAAAAAAAATAGCCAAAACCTAAGTTTACCACAATTTGACTACTCAAAAACACTATTTGAACTTTCTAAACAGTTAATCATATTTAAATAATTTAATAATTCTGATTTCCCACTTTGGAGTACCTCAGCTCAGTTTTTAAAGAATCAGCTTTGATTGCAAACCATTATGACCCAAGAACTGCCTGTCAAGGGGGACTCCTTATGCAAATCAGCCTTACCAAGAAGACTCCTTTGAATGCAGAAGGTTCTTATACAGCGCTGCCTCTGCCTGATCTTCCTGCTTTGAGCAAATGAATGAATCACGTTTTCGCCTCAAAAAATTCAAAAGATCTCCATAGCAACAATATTCTGTAATGACCAGGGTGGGCCCTATAAGGATGTAAGAAAAAAATTAGAAGAGGCAAAATATACTCTAACCAATCCAACCTCTTGTTAAAAAAAAAAAAAAAACCAACCCACAAAACCCAAGGGTGATCTGGGATATTAACATTCAGCTTCAGTAGCTGAGCCTTCTTAGTCCTAATTCTGTCTATTATCAGCACTCATCACAAAAAAAGCGGCATTATGTATTTTAAAACAAAACAAGCCAGCCCCTTTTGATCTGAATTTCTAAGTGACATGAGGCTCTGGGGCCAGGCTTGACTGCTGGCTTTACAGACACAAGTTGCTGCTTTCAAGGATCTACTATTATCAAGCTTCCTATATAGATCTCCTTTGACTTACTTCTGTTTTCAGCAGGGCTTCACATCTTCTCTGTAATGTTATTATGGAAATGAAGAAAATAAACCACATGGAACAGCCAGCTGAGACTAGACTGGGAAGTGGGTGAAACCTGAAATGACCTGTATTTTGAGCACTATTAGTCAAAAAGAGTCCTACTGCTAGTGAATGCTTAAAAATCTGCTTTGTGAAATGAACAGGCAACTAACTGCCTTGGTAGGAACTGTCTTATGAACAATTTATGATAGGGTGAAGCCCCATTCATGAGTTGTTTTAAGAGACATTGTCGAAAACTGTCAACATCCCTGCGGATCTCTCCGGATCTCCGAAACAGCTCCTCTCATCTTTGTTCCATTAGACGGAAGTGTATTCTGCAGACATTCTGTAGACATCCTTAATGGGAACCTCAAGAATTGGAAATGTACTTTTACCAAGTGAAACGTTTGCTTCATTTGGTGGATATCAGGCAAGTGGGAGGCTTAGGGGCCTACTCTCAGCGATGGAGGACACATGTACTTCAGCTTCTGAATGACTGATGATGACCCAGCAACATAGATAGTTTGCAGGACAAGAAAAGCCTTCTGATTGAAATGAGATATTTAAGAGGTCAACGTTGTCAATAATAGATGACAGTAGCTCACATCCTAGGCTATTTCTCCCTAGGATGTAAAATTTTAAAAATCTACATTTTTTTTTTTAGTTCATCAATTCATCATTTAACTTCCCTTTTTAAATGGACACATAGTGTTTATACTCATTTAGGGGTTATAACAGTGTAATTTGATACATGTACACAATCTGTCTTAATCAACTAATGGTAACAAGTGGGCACGCAAAGAGACCAATGCTGCATGCTCTCACTCATGTGCAGAAGCCAAAAAGAGCTGACTTCATGAAAGCAGAGCATAGAATCCAGGCCACTACAGGCTAGGATGGGGAAGTGGGAGATTGAGATGGTAGATAGGGGTGCCAATCATAGGTGGTGGGGGTGAAGGGAGGTCAAAAGCTCAGTAGGGTAACTATAGTCTATGAAATCATACCTTTCAAATAACTAGAGGAGGAGAGTCTGAAAGGTCTGAACACATTGATAACTGATTAAAAAAACAACAATACAGAAATGATAACCTCCATTAGGTTAAGAACAAGTAGGAAAATAAAACCTACCAAAAGAGAATGAAAATTTGGATAGAAATCTAGCAATTCATAACCAAGCTTTTTCGAGTCTTATTTTTTTTTTTAAAGTCCTTCTTTTGGCAACCTAGCAGATAGGAAGATGGCATCTGGATATGGGCTCACCTCCAATGGTACATGCGCCAAGAAGATTCACAATATTCACATGATTGCCAAGGTAGCTCAGGACTTTCAGTTCAGACATGAGGGCTTCTCGCTCCGTTAAATGGGCACTTGCTAAAATTGGGAAACATCTTATTTTAGCATTTCACCTCTAATATTAAACCAACTCCACTAAACCCATTAAAAAAAAACAAACCCCAAGTGGGCAAGTAAAAACTGGTGTGGGTGAATGTACTGGCCTATGGTAGCAACTTACGTTTAAGCATCTTCACAGCAACAGTCATGGCTGCATCTGACTTGATTAAACCATATGCAGTGGCCTCAACAACCTTCCCAAAGGCACCAGCACCCAAGGTCTTCCCTTTAGAAAAGAAGAAAGCAATGTAGAGATAGGAGGAAGGAACACTCGAAGGTTCCAAGATCAACAAAAGGATTAGCAGCAAATATGTTTTTAAAACGTATCCCTGTAGTGTGTTCTGTGCCAAACGTATCAGTTTTCTGTGCAATTTCTCAGGGAAAAGAAAAATAATAATAACCACTTCTTGTTTCAGGTGGAATGAAACAACGGAAACCCTGGGGTTCCCTAAAATCATTGTTATGTGTACACAAAAGGGCTGCATGGAAAGCCCCTGCTTCATACTGACCAAAACTCAGCCTGTTTCTGGGAAACTCCCATTTGTGATCATAAGGAAGTTGTGTTGGGTCTATGTAAACATAATTGTTTCCATTTATCTCCTCGACAACCTTCCATTGTACTTCATACATGGGTTTCTGGAGAAAAGAAAAGACAGATCACCCTTTAATGAGGAATGCTTCAGTCACCAAGGCACTGGGAGACTAGAGGAGAGAACAAATCAATGGTTACCTGTAAATATTTGTAGGTGAGAATCATAACAACGATGCACATGAGGCCAGCCGTGATCACAAAACCAATCAGCAAGGGTGTGAACAGGGTGTGCGAATGGATTTGTTCTAAAAGGGAAGAGAAGCGGGAGAATCACAAACTATTAGCAGGATAGGATGTTGGTGACAGCCAAATCCCGAGCAGACCCACTTCCTGTCTCGCAGCCTGGACAGGGGATATAGCTATGCGGTTTTTGCTCCTTAACCTTGGCTATGTCTTACTCTTGGTAATAAAATGAAGCTCTTAACAATACAACATTAAGTCAGATTACTCAGAAAGACGATGAGAGGTCTATGGTATATGCATAATTTTATGTTGCTTTTCAAAGCAACATCAGGAACGGCCTTTGGACTCCAAATTTCTTCTCTTTTTAACTATCTTTAAGTACTTGTACAAAGGAGTTGCCACTGAACAACGTAGTTTATGAATACAATGCATCTTGATCACTGTCACCTCTTTTGACATTCTCAAATTCCTTCTTTAAAAAAACCCAATTTATTCTATTGGTGGTTTACATTTTCTTTTTCTGCTTTTTGGCACTCCTGACTTTTCCAAGTTTTCTGAAATGACCATAAATGTCTTTCACAACCAAGAAAAACATTTCTAAAGTGCCTCTTTCAATGCACTGTCTGGAAAGATCAATAACATAGAACAATGTTAACATTTTTCCTCTCATTTACTTAAAAACTGAGGATACACATTTTGGCCTAAATCTTTGTAATACACACACACGCGCACACACACACACACACACACACACACACACACACGCACGCACGCGCGCGCACACACACACACACCTACAAATTTAAATGCCCTTGTTTTTTGGGGGGGAGGGGAGGTTGGCTTTTAACTTTAAACCAATTCGTCAGTGTGTCCTCAAGAATTATTTCATTAATGTTAAGAGGAGAGCTGGTCACTCAGAAAGCACATTTTAAAGAAATAACTTGTTGGCTTGAGAGTGTAGCTCTAAGACTCTGGTTTCTATCCCCAGTATTACCAAAAAAAAAAAAGAAAGAAAAAGAAGAAAGGAGAAAAAGCAGCAAAAAAGGAAAATACAAAAGACATTGCTGACGAACATGATTACACCAAAAATACTATTAATTTTTGGATATGGCTATCTGGACATTTTTTTTTGTTGGTCGTGGGGCTTGAACTCTGGGCTTGGGAGCTGTACCTGCACTCTTCAGCTCAAGGCTAGCGCTCTGCCACTTGAGCCACAGTGCCACTTCCGGTTTTCTAGTGGTTTATTGGAGATAAAGAGTCTCACGGACGTTCCTGCCTGGGCTGGCTTTGAACCCAGATCCTCAAATCTCAGCCTCCTGAGTAACTAGGATTACAGGCGTGAGCCACTGGCACCTGGTTTTATCTGGACATTTTAATTCATTTCAAATCACTAAATATTAAACTTGAATTTGAAAATGTTCTAATTGTGGTTGGGGAATGGGTAAAATATATCCTCTTCAAACTTTCTACCCTCTTTTAATGGAAACAATTATAAACCTAATTAGTTGTAGAAGGACTTACACATATGCATGGATAAAATATACAAAACAAAGTGGTTAAAATGATTGATAAAAGACACATCTCTATTTCCAAAGTAGTACAGAATGAATCTGATGACAGTATGGTTGGTGTGCTACTAGGTGTTTCTAGAAATGACATGGCCAAGTGTTGGAATGGATTTAATGTCATGACAGATGTGGTAGACACAACCTAAACATCCCCTTAAATTGGATTAAAAAGAAATATACCTTTGTTGTTACCTTTAAATGCAAAGTTAAAGTAAGCAGAACTCTTGCCCACTTCGTTGTAAGCCTTACACTCCACTGTGCCATTGTGCCGGAATGTACTGGAGTCTATGGAACTCTGAACCACTAGTTTTCCAAATGGTGGCACAGATGAGTTCTGAATCTGCACGTCCACTGGTGGAACAGGGACAGAACACCTAAGGGAAAGAGCACAAAGGCATGGGCTTATGATGGGAAACCAAATACATGATACACCTAGCATTTGGCATACTGGACAGCACAATTGGAACTCATCATCCAGACAAATCCCCTTTGAGGCCACCAAATCTGATGAAGAAGACTTTATGGGGTCTTAGGGGCAAGAAAAGCACCATGTAGAGCAGAAAGGTGGAGAGGAGGTTTGGGATTTAATGGGTTTTGAATACACTCAAATTAGCCTAGTCTCTTGGTTTATGATGGGTTATGTAATCTCCCCAAGATTCAGTTTCCACAGCTGTACATTGAAATGGCAATACCATTTTGCAGGGTGTTAATGAAAGGGCTAGAAATAAAAAGTGCCATAGATAGATCTTTGCACACAACAGACCCTTAAAATAACCCAAATTTTCAAGTATATATGAATGGTTGAAAGGAATATGGAGGAAGAAAGCATAAAAAAAATAAATTGGCTGAGGACATGAAAACACTGAAAAAAATTGCATCCCAAGGCTCTGGGTTGGAAGCAGGGTGGTACTACCGTATGGCATTACTACTGGGGGGAATCGTGAGCCAGACCCCCAACTACCCTACTTGAAACTCCTGGCCACTTCCCTTTCCCTTCTTAACACCTACAGATAGAAAATAGTTGTTGATCTTACCTGCAAACTGTCTACCTAAGAAAAAGTAACATAGTCTGAGAGAGAAAGAAACTCAAGTATAGTGTTCTTTGGACCACCATCTGACATGTATGGCTCTCCAATTATTTGCTATATGCAAGACTATAATCACTGGGCCTTGCTTACTTCCCAGAGGTCTTACATGGCCCCTTCAGCCCCCATGATTCATGATTCCCCACAAGCAAACATTCCACAAAAGCTCAGACTAGAATAATCCTAGTAACCTCTTCTGATGCATTGCCACAAGAGGTTTAGTTCACAAAAAATAAAATTTCTACCACTAACCTTATTATTTATTGGTTGTGATGTTAAAATGAACTTTACAGGCTGGAACACAAAACCACATTTGAGAGATAAAAGAAATCTTTTTTTAAAAAAAGTAAGGCAAAGTTGACCCTGTTTTCATCTTCGGGTAATGGGAAAAGATAATTTAACGCTTAAGTGTGGGCTGCAAGAGCAAAACGACACAGTATCAGATGGTCTCTGTTTGTGGGGGGCTGGGCACCTCATCAAGGAGCAAACCTTTTACAACCTGCCATTTACCCCTACCATATGTATGTTGTAATTGTGCGATCATTACTTTTTGGTAACTTGGCAATTAACTTCTGAGGTAATTTTTTTCATGATAACTACAGCCACATTTCCCACACACATTACCTCCTGCATATAGAATGGAAATCTAATTACTTAGTCCTGGAAAATTGCTTTATCTACCTGCAGGCTAGAAATTGCATGATAAATCCAAAAAAGATAACCACCCAAATAGAAGAGTCATTCAGTAATCATTTTTCAGCAAACAAAATTAATGTCTACCAGGAAAAATACAGCCATTACCTCCCCCTCTGAAAAGCCACATGGACAGAAAAATAATAATCAAAGCTTTTTCAAAAAAAATTAAAAAAAATCTAAACACATTTGAAATCCAAGTGAACTGCAGTCTTTCCCTTCTGCATTTTAAGCAGTGCCAAAAATAATCATCTCACCTCTGCTCCGTTCCTGGACAAAAATACCAATCTATTGTGGGCTCTGGAAATCCCGCTGCCACACACTGGAGCATACCATTCATGAGCCTGTCATACGTTAGGATTTCTGGTTTTGCTGTAGAAAAAAGAGAAGCGGCCATATGTCAGTCTGCTGAAAACCCTCCGTGAGAGCCGTTCCAATTCTTGCTCATCTCTCCCATCCTTAGAACCTTCTTGAAGCTGTGAGAGAGAATGATCTTCCAAAGGGAGACTCTGAACCAATGAATGGAAGATATGGAGAGGTGAACTGAGAATCTAGCCAAGAAAGATATTTACAATCCCACCATGCCCACTGCACACAGGGGGATCTCTGGGACCTCTCTCAAGCAGAGGTCACAAGACCTCCTGTCTAGGTTTTGCTTCCAGTGATGAGGTTAAGAAGCTAGCATTCCAACTTCCTGAAGGTGAAAATTCTATTTAGTAGATTCCTAATGGGATTCCAAGTTATTGTGGGGATGAAATTAGGATTTGTAACTGGAAAAGGAAAATCCCAACTGTCTTTTTGGGGAATAGTATGGGTATTATTCATAAAGAGCTGAATCACTATATTTACAGGGAAGCTCACACATGACAGTAAGTGACAATATGGGCTTTTAAATCCAGACCTTTATTTCGAATGCAAAATGCAGACAGAAAATGATAAGAGAAAACCAGCCAAAAATTATATTCACACATATATTTAGAGTCTGGATAGAATCAGCCTGGATAGAATCAGCAAAAACATAAATTGTATCAGCAGGAAAGCTCTAATTTGACATTTCTGTGTAACTATAATAATCAATTGATATTCAACAATTTAAAATTTTGGAAATTATTTCTAAAGAAAAAGAAGATGAGCTGTGTTTGTTGGTTTTAATGGCAATGTACTTGAAGATTTCTCACGCTGAGAATAAGCTACCTGTAAGCATTTTGAGGGCAGAGATGATGATGTGCTTATCGGCATCCTTAGAGGTAAGCCCAGAAATGAGTTCACAACAACAAAAAGGCTAGGTAGGCTATGTGTGGGGTGGATCACCTCTTATACTTTACCAATTCTCTACCACTAGATAAGCTGCAGGCTCTGTTTCTGCATGTGTAAAATGGGAATGAGAATGGTAGCCATCTCATAGAGCAGTTGAGATAATTAAATGAATTGGGGCACACAAAGAGCTAATAATGACTTGCACTAATGTAGCACTATGGCTGGAGGTGTGGCTCAATAGTAGAGCTCCTGCCTAGCAAGCATGAAGTTCTGAGTTCAAACCCCAGTACTAAAAAAGAAAAAAATGCATTTATTGATAGTTTTTATTATTGATTCAGTTTACTAACTGGAGTACCTACCCTGCTTGGTTAAATGCATTTTCTACAGATTAAGTTAATCGTATCTGCCACGCTTAATATTCCATTCAGTGATCTGAAAATTGCTTCTTTAAAATAATGTGATAATATGTATGTGTTTTAATCTGATACATTGGGAATGTGACATCAATTATATTGCATTTGATAAGAGAAATACATGTGGTGAGAATGAATAACAGATTAGAAACATAGGACAGTTATTTCCCCAGAGAAAGCTAACAATGGTAAGTGGCATCTTTGCAGAACAACCTCTCAGCACCTTACCTCCTTAGAGGCAAATGAGTTGGCAGGGATCAGAGTGTCCACATGCATGACACACCCACCTGTCACTCAACCTGGCCCTGCTGATGGGCAGGCCAATTGGCAAACACACACAAAAGAGTGACTCTCCAAAGCCATCTCAAGGTAGGAGCATCCTTGAGAGTTTGGATCCAATGCCAGCTTTCACAAATAGAGCAAGAAGACAAGCCATCGTCTTGCGAAAATATCCATCTGGCAAGTTTCATTTAATTATCATGGGCAACTGTGTGATCAGGCTGAAAAGTAGGACACTACACACAAAAAAACAGTAGACTCTTAGGAGAATGCTATTTTGCTGGAGACGGTAGGTGCCATACGGTAAGTCTCTCTGGACTCAGCTTAAATGTCACCTCTATTTCTAAGCAATCCTCAATTCTCCCAAGCCAAATCAGTTGATCTGTCTCTCTCTCTCTCTCTCCCATCTCATGGCATTTAGGATTCCCTGACTCTGTTATGCTAGACCTTGGTCTGCTTTCTCTTTCATACTATATGTCCTCAAGAGCAGGAACCATGTCTGATTGATTGTACCTCTAACTGCGGTACATAGTAGAGCTAATGAATGATTAAGATTCTAAAGGCACCAGATAGTAGCTCACACCTATAATCCTAGCTACTCAACGGGCTGAAATCTGAGCATCACAGTTCAAAGCCAGCCCAGACAGGATGGCCCATGAGATTTTTTATTGCCAATTAACCACTAAAAAGCCAGAAGTGGAGCTGTGGCTCAAGTGGTAGAGTACTATAGCAAGAAAGCTAAGGGACAGTTCCTAGGACTTAGTACTGCCCCCTCCCCCACATGCATGCACAGATCCCATCCAAGACTGGGGATGTATTTCAGTTGTACAGTAAGGTTCTTTCCCCAAATCCTAGCACTATAAGATGGTGGCAGGAGGAAAGAAGGAGGGGAGAACCCAACCAATGAACCAATCTCTAAACATCCAAAGGCACTGACTTAAGAATCTGTCTAATGGTGACTTTCCTAGTGGATATGTTTCTACTGTTCTTACAACAGATGGCCCAAAGAAATTCACAAATATGTTTAGATATGTAAATTTTTTTCATTCTGAGATTAATTCTATCCATGATGACATAGATATTTGGACATGAGCTTCAAGTTCAGAATTTGGTTCTACTACCTATATTCTTCTTGTCACAGATGCTTCCCAGTACCCATAATGCCACAGATGGACTTTTAATGGACCTAGATTCTGTAGAAGGAAGACATTTAAAAGTTGAAGGGATACTGCAAAATGTTGACAATGGTCTTCTATGGTCATATGAAACATTTTTGGATAATTTTCACTATTTTTGGGTTGTTTTCTAATTTTACTTTACAATGCACACATACACTAAAAATGCACCTATAAAATACTTTTTAGAAAACTGGAGCAGTTCAAAATTACATAACCAGTTACATTTCACTTTGGTGACAAGTACTCTAAGATCCAAGCCTTGCAGCATGACACCTGGTAGCAGTTATACAACAACGGTGCCCAGCCATGGTGCAGTCTGTCTGTCTGACCTACTTGCTCCTGTGTGCTGGTTAATTAGGTAGTTGTTTTTAATGCTACTATTCCAGATGGATCATAACCTGTGGCTGGTTGAGCCACTTTTGTCCTGGCGGGCCTTAGAGAATCTTAAACTTTCCCTATGTGTCAGACATCCTGAGAGATGAACCTCGTGAAGAATCTGGAAGCCCCTCTCCAGAATCCCAGTAGGTTCAGAATATGATCCACAAATGTACTTTTTAAGAGCACTTTCAAAGAACACCAGCAGGGCCAGGCCTAGATGAAGGCAGGAGAGACAGTGTGACATTTCAGAAGACACTAGCATTAAAAGTGTCACAAGATGGTACCTGTGAGGGCTTCGTTCTTTGCTTCACCGTCATCCTGGCCTGTCCCCAGTGGTAGTGGTGTGACATCTCATTCTGTAAAGGTTATTATACTAGCCCAGTCCATAGCATGTTGCATTAGGAAAATGTTTAATGCATAAAAATAATGAGCTAGGTGGAAATCTGATGCCTAAAAATGAAAACCCGAGCTCATCTTCATTTTATAAGTGGCTCAATGCCCTGTGAACGGCATTAAATATGCATTTTGCTGCTAAAGATACATATTCTCCCCAATTCTCCAGGTTAATCTAAGCTGCAGTTTCTCAGATATTCTGCAACAACCAGGATACCAAATGACACATTCCCTAATTCCTCCCAAGTTGGAGGTTTCAGATAAACCTAAAAGATGGATAAGTTATACATTTCCTGGGGAGATTAAAAAAAAATAGCCATTTCTTCCTTTCAAAGCATTGAGGACTTGTGTCATTCTGGTGTCTCCAACACTGATCAGCTTGTAGGCAGTGATTTGACTGAGAATTTATTGTTCACACAGTGAAAAGACTAAACATTTACTGATTTACGGATTTATGATCTTGAAAAATATTCTTTTCTACCACCATCAGGTCCACGTGGAATGCAGGAACAAAATGAATTCTAAGAACTCAGCACAGACAACAAGAGCTGGCAGCTGCAGGTGTGCAGAAGTGACTAGTAGGGGAGGTCCTTGGTTTATCTCTGTGTTGGGAAACATTTTTGAGACTAGGTCTTCTCTTGCCCGGTCCACCTTAACTGACTCCTGCTATAAATGCACATTTGTCCACACTCTATAATCAGGCAGGACAAAGAATACAGACTTGGGGCTCCAAATAATAAAAGACTAAATGGAGAGCAATCAGAGGATCAATTTCTGTTTTTACAGTTCCAGGCTTTGCTGGAGTTGAGTGGTGGTGTAGCAGCATTTTAGCAATTTCTCACTATCCTGGTTTAGATCTGGATGAAACCTCCATTCCAGTCCTAACACTGTTATAATAAAGAAGTAAGAAAATCAGGTGAGAGCTGGAAATCAGGTACAGCTCAAGTGGTAAAGTGCTTGCCTGGAAGCATGAGGACCTGGGTTCAAACCCCAGTACCATAAATCAATTGATAAGCTCAAATACACTCATACAATAACTTAGTCTAGCTTTTTAATAAACTAAGTGGTATATTCTTAAGGAAATCTCCAGAACTGACATTTTGGAAACATATGCAGTATTCTAGCCAACTTGCAGGATTTCTGGAAATTGGTATATGGGCTTTAACAGAGCCCAGGCCTGGAGGTAAAGCTCCAGACCAGAATGTGTTCGCGCGCGCGTGCACACACGTGCACACACGCACGCGCGTGCGTGCACACACACACACACACACACACACACACACACACACACACACACAAAGAAAGAAAACAAAAAACATGTTGTTCTGATTAGATAACATTCCCAATTAGGAGTCAGCTCAGCAAAACAGAGGCAAGACAAACATTTCCAATAAATACTTAGGACTTAGGCAGAGACCTCTGGGTCTCTGGCATGACTGTCTTGAAATAGAACTTTTTACTTAAAAGTCGGGTG